ACCAAAGAGCTGGCATGGCCCCAGTGCAGGCAGCGTGGCTAGGGTGCTGGTTTAGGCTGGTGCAAGGAGTTATTTTCAGGGGCAACATGCTCCTAACTGCAGCTTCACTGACAGAAAAACAGCAAACCTAGCAGTGCTGTCACAGAAAGCAGTTGGTCATTGCCCTTTGTTTCTTTCAGCTTCTGACTTAACATTTCAGTAGTGCCCAGGCCTGCTACTGGTCTGTGTCGTGTGGCTGGAGCTTTGGCACTCAGCAGTGGTGAGAAATGGCAGGAGCCTTGGCCATGCTGTCAGCTGGAGTTGATGGAGTGCTGTAGGTTGTGTTGGCAGGGAGAGCCTAGCTCTGGTCTGGAGTTCAGCCCCAGCCCTTGTATGCACTAGGTGGTTAACCAAACAGCAGCCACATCTTGAGGTGAATGTGATGGAGAGTAATTATGGGATGAGAGGATGTCCCTGCCCCTATCTCTGGCTCCAGGAGGCATTGGAAGTGATGTCCTTAAAGCATGTGCATGCTCTGGCTGAACTACACACCAACTCGCATCATCTTTATTAACACTGGCACTCAAATTTAAAGCAACAGTGCACACAGACTTGTAAAAAGCTTGCTGCAAAAGCACAAGCCACATCTTAGATCTAAAAATGTCCCATGCAAGGAATAGCAGAGAATGCCCAGGCCCTGGAGAGCCACTGCCGTGTGCCCCTGGGGGCAGAGGGATAGCTACACAAGGTGAGAAGGCTCCTCCTTGTCAGCTGGGTTAGCTGAGGAAGCTGAAAGCAGTGTGCTGGCTCCCAGGTTAGTTCCAGTTAGTGGCAGGTGGAGGAGTCCCCTCATCCCTAGTGCCATGTGTCCATCCTGCCATGCCTGGCTGGTGAGGTGGAGGCTGAAGAGCAGGAGGACCTGGCTGTCAGTGGAACTTGTACTTCCTGGCTGGTTTGAGGCTGATGTAGGTTCTCTTCATCTCCTCGCTCTCGGGCTTCTTGATGTCTTTGTACCTCTCTCCCTTTGTACTCACCACCTGGTTGTCAATATAGCGGATCAACTTCTTGGGAGCCTGGAGAGGAAAGACATTAACATCAAGTGGATGGACAGCCATGCTGCTAGGGAAAGGGAAGGGAGAAGCAGAGCTGTGCTCTGGGGAGACAGTGCAGGAAGACTGGGGAGGGCTGCTTTACCCCTCCTTTGTGTTGGGAATCTTGGCCAAAACTGCGAAGGAAGCTGTCTGGTGCCAGGGAGCAGGAGCCATGCTAGTCAGGAATGGCAGGAACTGACAGGCCCTGCAGCACCTTAGCTAAGCTAATCTTCCCTCTGCTGACTAGCAGGTTCTGTGAATGGTCCTGCCTTTGGCCTGCCCCTTTGCTTTTTGGACTTGCAGCCTGATTTTTAAACCTTGTAGCCAAAGGACATTCAAACTGCTGCTGAGCTGGGACTGCTCTTCTTACCTCTTTGGGTGGAGCTGGCCGATGTGTTTTCTCATCATCTGCACTATCCACCATCATGTATCTGGAACACAAGAAGCACTGAGTGAACACTGTGACATGCATTGCCTGAGGCTATTCACAGCCTGGGTCCTTTCTCCTGGCTGGTTTGTGGCTGTGCAGTGTGTCCTGCTTGCCTAGACTGCAGCTAGGAGCACTTAATGTTCTCCCCTGGATGAAACGGGCAAGAAGTGTGTCATCCTTCTGGTGAGAATCCAGCAGGATTCTCCTGGAGTACCATCCTTGTCTGTACGTGAAGGGTATTGAAAACTCAGGCTGTTGATAATGCCAGTAGCTCCTGCAAAACCAAGAGGTGCCGAAGTCTGGTGTGCTCTGCCATTAGGGCAGCTTTGCTTATTCTTAGCCTGAGTGATGGGAGCCAAGGGAGACAGAGGTGAGATTACAGGACCAAGCTGGCTGCTTCTGCCCTGAAAAGATGGTGTTCCTTTCACACTCCACCTACTACTACTTGACTATGAAACAGGTCTGTGCTGGAAGCAACTTCATAAAAGTATCACTTCATTCCCTGTGTGACTGAAACATTGGGGCCCAAGTATTTGCTTGCTGTACTGCTGAGTTACTACTCTTGAGACTTTGGTGCTGGTTTAGTAGGCAGACAGCAAAGCTGACCATGACTTCTTCCTTAGTAGTTTGTATAGTTGCTCCTGTGTGTCTTCAGCTATGGTGATCTGCTCTCTGTACCTGTGCTTGAGTGATGTTTAAAGTACAGGATGTTGCCAAAATGTCATTAAAGTGAAATTCCCAGAAACATAACGAGCAGCTGGTGCTTTTTTGTTCCCTTGCATGTGACTCTGAAACAAGCCTGCACAGGAGACAGGCAAGGACAGGGGTTGCTAATGCTGCCTGGATGCCATTCTGCTTTGCTTTATCTTCCCTAGCTCATTGGCTGTTTATTCTGTCACTGAGGAGGATGTAAAGTGGTAGAAAAGATGTGGCTGGATAGACACATGGAATCTGCATGCCTGCAGAAGGATACTTGTGAAAGATGAGATCTTAAAGCAGATTGATGAAATGATAGTGTGTGTTCTCCTACTGAGAATTAAATGCTTTTGGAAATGAATAAAGGTAAACCAAGCTAAAGCCATTTTCGTTCCTAAGAAGTCCATAGGGGGACTTCAGAGAGGTTTCTTTAAAGGCATTGAATTCACACCTTCAGCAACTGAGATTTAACTTTCCCAGTGTTGCTGTACAGGCAGTTGCTTAAAGATATCTTTAACCTCGTTTGGATGGTCTCCAAGGATGGAGGTATGAATGAGCTGCTGTAGTTCTACAAGTCACCATGTGTTACCTGAGCTGCAGCATGATGTTTGTGCCTTGAACCTTTAACTGGGACCTCAGCTGACAGTACTGTGACTCACACTATACCTGTAGGAGGCTGAAACCTCACACACAGACAGTACTGTAACCCAGCTGGGGCAGGTAACCTGTTTCTGTGCCAGAGCTCTAAAAGAAACCCAAACCTCTTTTTTCCCCACCTGATGATTATATTTGTGCTTGGATGTGTTCAGCTATACCCAAATGAGCTTTACAGCATCCTTTCTAAGTCTCATACACCCCTAGACCACATTGTCATTCTGACCTTCCCCAAACTGCCACCTTTTCCTTTACTGGGAGCAAAATAAGGGGTTTTTTTTTGCTGCTGGGTACTTACTTCTGTAGGATAACCTGTTTTAGTTCCTCGTGGTTGGGCGCTCTGCGGGGCCGTGCCAGTTCCTGTGAGGAGACAAGGCGGGTGCGTGAGTAGCACAACACATGGGGCGTGCAGCTTCCCCCGCGCTAGCTCAGCAAGCCCAGCTGCTGGTGCAGCACTCCAGCCCCTGTGGGAAGGGGGGTACCAGCCACAGCTCTGCTGGGGTGCTGCCTTGGCTGTGGGCACAGCCTGTACTCGGCCAAGGGACGGAGAAGGGGTGTTGCTCTAGGTGATCCCTGCTGCTCATTGTGCGGAAAGCTCTTGTGTGCAGCAGACAGCTGGGACACCTGTGTGTCCCTGAGCTCTGCCCTGCTCCTTGGCCTGCTGCCACCCAGCTCAGAGTACAGTACCTTCACACTTGCACCTGCTGGGCCAATTTCCACCTTCTCCTCCACAATTAACTGCACTGCCTCCTCCAAGTTCCCCAGGGCCATGGCAAGTGCCTTCTCTGCCTGGCTCACGCTACAGGCTGGGAACATCTCCAGTAGCAGCTCCACCCCATCCTTCAAGTCATCGCCTTCCTAGTTGGAGCAAGAGACAGAGGTAAGTTGGAGATGTAGTTGGGGGGTGGGGGGGGCTATTAAAAGGGGCCTTTCTGGTTTTGCATTAAGTCAGGAAATTCAGCTTGCCTTAGCTGAAGGCTCGCTCTCCTTGCAAGCATGATTACATCCTGTTCCTGAAGCTAACAAGGGATTGTATCTTTGCAAGGACAAAGCATCACTCTTCCTTCATCTCCTCCCCCTGTATTTCAACTTTCTTTAAATAGGGCTGCTGTGAACTGGCTCATCTGTGCAACCATGCTATGCATCTCCTTAGGAGTGAGCTTTCTGGACACTGTGGTGAGAATGCTTGAACTCCCCCCCCACCTTGTGAAGTTATATATGCTTTGATTAGAAAGGGAAGGGACTGCTAAAAAGTGACCTGTGGCTACAGTGCAGCAACAGCATTTGGTAGAAGGCTGTGGACACAGAATGACTGAGATGCAGAGCAGGAAGAGATCAGTACTGGAGAAACAGCAAGCAGAATGTTGGGGAAGGAGGTGGGGAGTGAAGTTTGGCAGCTGCTGCCAATGCCTGTAGCATGGGTCATGCTGGATGGTGCTGCAGGACCAGCACTGCTGGGCCGACGACTCAGTGCTGTATAGCTCAGCAAGTGCGCAGCACAGGTCATTGAGGGTGGGACCAGCGTCTTCGGGACTGACACCCACGCACAACTGCTTACTGTGCAGATACTGCATGATAGTTGGGGAGAGAATGGTGACCCAGCTCAAACTGTGAAGTGAGGCTAGGGAAATAGGGTGAAGCGGGCTGGAGCCTGGCTGGTGCTGCAGAGGCATCCCTACGGTGCTGCTGTGGGATCTCCAAGAGCACTGGGACAGGCTCTTTCAACCATAGCTCTGGCTCATCCTTTCCAACCCATTCTGGCTGGAAAGGATGAGCCAGAATGATGGCTCACACTTCTGTCAGCCCATAATTTTCTTTTTCCACTTACTGACACAGCCTTGCTCAGGCCATACAATGGAGATCACAGACACCAATGATGCTGTGTCACAGCGTATGCAGTGGTTCCTTTCAGAGACAGAAAATGCCCTCAGGTGGTGCTGGTAGCCTCTTTCTGGGTGACTGTCCCCAGTGCTCCTGCTCCTCTGTGGGGTGCTCATACCTGGGCCCTGGCTCCGTCTGTTGGAGTGCACAGCCTCTCCCCGTTGCAGGCTGCGGCTCCAGGCTCCTGGCCCTTGGTCAGGTCTTCAGAGGGTGCTTCACTCCCACTTTCCACAGCCTTTTGGCCACATTTTTCTTAAAAGACACAGGGGATATCTCCTGAGGAACAGCCCCACAAAGGCTAAAGCTCCGTGCTTTCTGTTGGCATTAGATTGCTAGTGCACTGCGTACCAAAGCAAATACCTTCTTAAGTGACAAGACTGGGAAGCACTACTGTTCCTCTTGCCCTCAGCAGGGACAGCTGCAGCTCTGCTCACACTGGCCTGCAAGAAGCCAGTGCTAGCACACGCTGGAGTGCCCGAATGCTGCCTTCCCAGGCCCTACCAGGTGTGGGCTGCTTGCAAATTCAATTCTGTCCTTGGCCCTCTAGTGCTTTGGCTGTGGATACTTATAGTATTTTTGTTACGTTTCTAAGAATTCCCTGGTGTTGCTCTAACTTTGAACTAAGGTGTGGGTTTGATTTTAAATTTGGGAATACACACTGGTAGTTTCCAGGCTGTATGTGAGCCAGCACAACCTGTGATCAGGTTACTCTAATGCATCTCTCATTTACAGACTCTTTCTGTGTCACTGTCAGAAGAATCATTTCACCTCTGTTCTGTCCTCTCTAAAACTGGGATCGTGCTGTTGTTCCACATTGCCTACATCAGGATCCTCAAAGGATAGGATTCAGAGGACCAGAGGAGAGCAGTAGCTTTTGCCAAGTTCAAGAAAGCAGCAAGTAGGATAAAAGACAGGACTCTGTTCTACACTGTGTAGCCTTCTGGCAAGACAACAGTGATGTTGCTAGATAAGCAAAACCCGGACTGGTGTGTCCTGAAAGGTTTAATATCCAGGCACTTCACCTGTTTGTTCTTTAGTGGGAAGTACCTTTGGGACTGCTTAATACAGCAGTGCAGCTGATCTGGGAATGCTGAAGTTAGAAAGGCCCATTGGGATAGCGTTGTCTTCTGCAGTCCTGCATAGTGCAGGCCAAAGCACATCACTGCTAATTTCGCATCTGTGCCAGGGTTCACAGGTGAATGGGAAGTGAGCCTTGAGGATGCTCAGAGTCTAGAAGCAATATACATAATCAGCTGGATTCTCTATTTGATGATGCACCTGACACAGGCTGCCTATTGGTATTGTCCCTTAGGCAGATGGCTATGAGAGGCAGGCAAAAATCCCCACTTATAGAAAGAATTTCAGTAGAATTTCAACAAGCAGCCCTAGTGCTTCTATTTCTTCCTTATTACTCTGGATTTGATCTCAACAGAGGCGTTTGTAGATCTGATCAAGTGTTTTAAACCCCAGTATGTCCTGGACAGTATTCCATATGACTCAAGCCTCTCGTGTTGATATCACAAACCTTGACTGAACACTAAAAAAAAAAAAAAAAATTTTCAACCAATTCAGGCCACTCTATGAGATCTTAACTGTGGCAAACAAGATTATATTTTATCCCGTGACATTGCTCAACTCCAAAGAGTAAGACTGAAAATAGGTGCAGAATATACTTTCTTGTGCTGAAATTGTGTAACTCACCTTTGTTGCGAGCTTCACCAAGCCTTTCTGAGAGGGAGAACATCATTTCACAAACATCCTCACTGCAAGAGACAGAAGCTGTATAATTAGTGCGAGGAATAAAAACCTTAGCCTATCCTACTTGGCTACCTCTCTACAGAAAGATGAGGCTTGCTGGGAAGCCCAATAAAATAAACTGGTACTTCAGATCACCAAGGACATACTTGCAAGCTATGCTGGGATTGGCATTTGTGACTTCAGGAAAAGCCTGACTTAATGATAACGGCACGGGTTTAGTACTAATACAACCTCAACTGGATATAACAAAAGAATTTAGCTACTGAGGGGCTTGGGTCCAGGCCCCCAGTGCATGGCATGCACATACAAAGCAGTAACATTCACATACCTCTGGATTTCTGCAAAACCAGGAATATATGCCTCCATCATTTCCACAAAGGTGTCCATGTCAAAGGTCTCCTCAGAGGACTCTGGTGAGCCCAGCTCTTCCAGGACACCCGTGATATAAGAGAAGAAAACATCATCCATCCCACTGGAGACAAAGAGAACACAGGACATGGAAGCAGGGTCAACAGGCCCATTTTTTCTCTCTCTTTTCCTCCATCTCCATTCCCCCTAAGCTTACATCTTTCTGATAGAGCAGCAGAAGGACTTGTGTGGACTCTATCTTATCTTATGGGCAGATCTCACCAGTAAAGCCAGGTAGTAGGTGGTCAGTGGTTGAGTGAGAAGCATTTACGGATAAAATACTGCATGTCATCCTCCTTCCTGGGCAGCACTGAGTGAAAGCCTCAGCATGGGCTCAGAGGCTGTGCTCCTGTAGGTACTTCAGATGAGCTAACCAAAATATTCCAAGTGCTCAAACTCTGACTTTTTCCATGCTAATTGTTGTTTAAGGTGAGGCCATTGTATTCTGTCAAGTTGCAATTTCTGTAAGATGCAGTGCTCTCTGCTTGCTGCTCTCCACACTTGTGTCACTGCTGCCACTGGTTGCAAAACCAGCTGCTGTGTTCCAGCCTCAAGGTGCTGGTATCTCTGCATGCAGGCAGAGTTCAAAATAGGGAGAGCCCTGACACAGCGTTATGCTGTTCAGAGAGCCCTTTGGGAGCACTGTGGAATGAAGGGAATCTCATATTCTGATGTGTATTAGTGGACAGGAAATTAATCATCTTGGTCGTCAAAGAAATGACATTGCTAGATTGCAATGCTAAACGGTGGTTGTTCAAGCATTCACACCGGAGCCTCTGCAAATTACCTGCTTCCTGGATCTGACTTAAGGAAAAGCATCACAAAGTACAGGAAAGCTACAGAGTTCAGTATAACGTAGAGAGGGACAATTAATGCAGAGTTCAAGCTAGAACAATGATACTGGATCTTCCCATCTCAACATACCTGAGGTCTGCCGCAGGGATGTGGGACTGGATGAAGCATGTCAGTGCGTCTCGAATTATTCTTTCAAGCTCCATGTCTCTCTAAACCTTTTTCTCTAAAAAAAGAGTAGGAAAAAGAAAGCTCCATGTAATGACAAAGGCAAGAAGCAGATCAAAATATCAACAAGATCAAAAGGTAGGCATGGTATAGCAAGTGTGCTCTTCCCATCAGAACAATTCGCAAACTCCTCCAATATGTCTTGTCACCCCTGGGTAACAGCAGGGCAAAGATATCCACCAAAAGCAGCAGTGTGAGGATCCACTGGAAATACCAGCCCAAAGCAGACCAATGTCTTGGGCCTCTCCTGCTCGTGTTGATGCTGGCAGTATGCAGCTCTACTGTACATTTTAAATGTCCCCTCCAGAAAGCAAAGCTGGAAATGCAGATGTGTCCAGCTGCAGGACCTCAGAGACTCCTCCTGAGCTGGAACTCTGTGCTGCCTGGCAAGCAAGCAGTGGGTAATGGGTTTGCATGCTCAGTGCAGAAAGGGGTGGACCTTCCAGCTAAGAGCATTTGCAGTGATACTTGGACTCAGGAACGAGTGGGAGGAAGGGTAATGTCTCCTAAGGAAAGGACAACCTAGAGCGTATTTTACAGGGAAATACCAAGCAGGGCACAGACAACTAGTCTGCCAGCCAAAATATCAAAGGTCTCCAGGTCAGGCACGGACTACCAGTGGAATCCTGCCCAAACAGGACCCTGTTGTTGTGCTCAGTAAATGAGCCATTCTGCAGTTGATGCAGCTGCAACAAGGGGCCCTTGATAACCCAAAACTCAGGGGAGTTGTAAGAATCACAGAGCTCCTACAGAAGCAGTGCCAGAGCAAGGCTGCCCACAGCCCTCCTTCAGCTACCAGTACTGGGCCTGGACTGAACCAGGCAGAGAAAAGCCATTCCTTAACCATTCTTTCCCACTGGTGTCTACAAAGCTGCTGGGTGGCCAAACTCCTGGTGTAAGCATTGACTTCTTCTGAGGAAGGACACTACCTGTGTATAGAGAAAGTGATGTAGTCATTGGCCAGAGAGCTTCCAAACATTGTCATGCTCCCACCAGTGCAGCTCCCTCATTCCAACCACACCAGAACCTGAACAGGTCTGTTTGACACAAAGCTCATGGAGCAGTTGTGTGGGTTGCTGAGAGACAATTCCCATGGGAATCAAAAAGGTTTGTCATTTCCTGAGATGGCACTTCCAGAGCTAGCAGGATATAAAAAACCCTATCCCATGGCACTCAGCAGTGCTCTTGCAGGACCTACAGAGAACCAAAGCCCAGCAGCCTGTTGGCAGGTCCATCTACAGTCTTGGGGCCCATCCAAGCTCTGTGCTGTGCTTGGCCACCACTGCAGGTGCCAAGAGCATATGGTGGCCGGCCAGAGGAGCACACCGAAGCCATCCAGACCTGCCTCTGGCTATGGTCACATTGAGGCTCTAGGGATCCGACTCTTGAAACTGAGGGAGAAAGCTGTGACACAGGCTTATGCAAAAGTGTTTTCCTGGGTATATGGCACCCCTCACTGCATCTCCCTGTGGTGATTCCCCATCAAATATTCCCAGTTTGTGCTCTTCTACTCTTCAGGGCTTTGAACACACACAGGTTTTGCTACCTGAAGGACCATCTCTGATTGAATCCCTGTATCAGTGCCATTCCCTTGGGGCAGCAGGGAGACAAATTTGGAAAGAACCTCACAGCAGCAGAACACAAACAGTGAGACGTACTCATATAGAAGAACTGCCCCAATGCTCAATGTATTCCAAGCTAATCACAAAAGCCATCTAATTACCTAAACTTTCCTGCAGCTACTATTAGTATCAACCCTTCCACTGATCTAGATCCAATAACTAAAAAAGAAAACAAACCTTTGTGTGTGCTTCTCACTTGGGCAAATGAACAGTGAGTTACAAATGCCAGGCCACTATATGACCAACATATGTGTATTCAAACACAGCACATGCAGAAACAGCTGGAGGAAGCCATCATGAGAAAGGACTACTTGTTTGCTGTTTCTGTCATAAGTTACAAAATTTATTTGTCTCCTGTAATATCAGCCAGAAAATTCCCATTTCACAGCACTAGAGGAAAACAAGAGTCCAAACCTTTTCAGGTAGGAGCTCTTCACACAAACACCCAAAGTGAGCTCTTGAGCTGCTTTTATTTTTCAGCCTCACGAGGATTCTTTGTTTGCATTTTTCTCACTTCTGCAGATGTCACGGCCTGCAAGTGTGGAAGCGGGCTGTAAAAACAACCACGTGGAAAAACACCTTCCCACTGCCCATTTAGTGCTTCTTTGTGTTTTGTGTGTTCTCTAGTGGCGTGAAAGAACCAAGTTTAGCTTTGCAACATCATTTGCATCAAGTCATCTTTGCAACATACCTAGAAAAAAAGGTGAGCTTTGTTCTGTCCTCAAACATCAAAAAAACAATGATAAGATTTTGAATCTTACTGTTGGCAAGAATACTATGCTAAGCAGCATGTTTCTCCCCCACTTTAAGCTGAAGCTGCAAATGCTGGCAACCACCAGCAAGCCCCCCAAACTTGCAAGTACTTTTTTTTTTAAACAGAAATCAGGGATGGGAAATCAACATATAGCAGTCAAAATGTTCTTACTACAGTCACTACTATAAAGAAGAATGCTTATTTCCTTCTTACTCAGAGTCTTCATGACATCCTGGGAACTGGAAGTCTAAAAGATTTTGTCCATTTCCATGAAACAGGCCAATATTCTATAAGAGATAACTGTATGGTGACCAATAACATTTCCTGACAACCCAATTACCTGAACAACAGAGCACAATTCACCATGTCAAAGGCACTTTTGTGAGGTCCATAAATTTGCTGCTGGTAATTTATTCTGATCAATAGAACAGGCAAAGTCACTCATCTCCTTAATCAAAGGCACTTGCAGGCAAGTGTCAGACTGGGACAAGAAACAGAAAAAAAGTAATTCAGCAACAGGAGTATCATAGCTATGGCCAGCCACCAACTGGTCCTGAATCCAGTCCCTGACCTCTGGCAACCACAAGAAATGCTGGTGTGAAGTGTTTTAAAATATTCAGGTATTTTCCTGTGGAGTGACCATGCTGTATCTGAACAAAAGCTTATTTTCTTGTGTCTGTGAGAGGAAAGACAGCATCAGGTTTTAACCACTGGGTATATATATTCTCTCTGGCATCTCAGACAAATCCATTCACCAGCATACTTGGATTTAATGTTTATATCCAGAGAAGTCGAGCTGCCACCTCTAGCCTGCCTTTGAAGAACAGAAACCCTTTACATGTCAAAAATAGTGTCTTACACTGAAGGATAGAAAGCAGCTAGGTGATCAAGTATTTCTTCAAGGGTCGGCCACCGCCCTTTCACTTGAAGAGCCTATCTCCACTCCTATAAAACCAGAGGCACAAAGAGAGACAAATGCACTTGGGTTTCATCATATCTTGCCACAGGGCAGAGATTTTATTCCCTAGTCAACAGTCCTTACAAAAATTCACATCTTGGGGATCTGTAGTGCCCAATGGTCTTGGCTGAATGAAGCTTGTGGAAGATGAGTCCTGAAGGTCCTCTGGCCTTTCAGATTCGGTGGGTATTTTCTTGAAATAGAGGGAGCTGATTAAAAACCTATGTACAAAAATTTTAAAATGGATTCTTCAAGGAATAAACTGATGTTGCTACATATTCCTCCCCATACAACCAAGTTTAGAATTACCTAACTCAGGAGACAAAAACACCTTATGCATTGTACCTTCAAATGCCACATTTTTTTCTAGTGGAGACCTGCCATAGTTAAGGGGGAGATTTACTAGAAGGGCTTATCCTACGTGCACAGTCTTGTGGAGGAGTGATTTATAATGCACAGAGCAATCTAAAACCCAAAGGCAGGAGAAATCACTCTCCTGAGAGCTCAATTTTACTGAAAAGGTGTTACCATCATTTTAAACTTCCAGCCATAACTGCAATGTGGATTTTAAGATGACTTTGGTAATTGTCAGCTGATTTAAACATATCTGTGATAAAGTCCTTCTGCATTTCTTGTCAGTAATGTGGGCTCTACTTAACATGTTGCACAGAATCTATTTTTTAAAACATATAATCAAGAAACGGTATTCCTATTGCTCTGTCCCCAGCTAGAGCCTCACAGTTTTGCAACCTTCAACCCTTGGAAATCCTTGTAACTTTTCAGTCTTTAAACACCAGGGTTTGTTATTAAAAGAGTGAGCAGTGGAGCACTGTATGTCATCTCAGTAAGACAGGCTTGGTTAGAAACATCAGGAGTGTTTACCTGATCCACATAATATTGCATGGCATACATATTTCCTCACCTCAAGCAGAGAAAAGCGGTATCAGTTCTCAAAATGTAAATGTGAAAATTATTCATTTTCTGCACTAGATACATTGGCCAGCAGCTCAACAGAGTTTGCCACCCTGTTGTCTGTCTTGAGAACCTGGTAATCTCCATCTCCCTTGCATTTTCCTTCCTAACATGTTAATGTAGCTATTTAAAAAAAAACCCCAAACAAACAAACAAACCCCCAAAACCCAAACAGCTGCAGAAATACCCCTCTAAAAGTACCATTATCCTTGTGGTGTCTAAAATATCTACTTAAGCTATACTCAAGAAAAGCTGGCTTCTTTTTGCACAACTCCTATGAATCTGCCTTCTTTAAAAAAAAAAAAAAAACAACAGGGTGAAAATGTGAAATGTTTGCATACAGCTAGATCATTTTGAAGGCTCCTTCAATTAAAATGTCAGTAATCATTCTCAAATGGTCAATATGATGGGATGGGAATGACTGATTGTGCCTTGAACTTTATGTTAACAACACAGACTCGAGGAGAACAACTTAGGACAATGTTTCTGAGCTAAGAGGAACTGCCATTCAGATGTATATCAACTTCTATGAGATCCTGAATTTGCCTACCAATGAGCTGAGGTTCCTGCAAGTGGAAGGAGATGTTTTGTATGCCTTGGATGTTTCTCAGGACAGGTTAAAGCAGTTCAGGTAAATCTGATCTGGCTGAGGGACTGACTAAAACACCTTGAGAGGTTCCTTTAACTCAGGT